GCCAGCAGTATGGTGTGATGGGGCAGGTGGGCAGGTCAGCAGTATGGGGTGATGGGGCAGGTGGGCAGGCCAGCAGTATGGGGTGATGGGGCAGGTGGGCAGGTCAGCAGTATGGGTGATGGGGCAGGTGGGCAGGCCAGCAGTATGGTGTGATGAGGCAGGTGGGCAGGTCAGCAGTATGTGGTGATGGGGCAGGTGGGCAGGCCAGCAGTATGTGGTGATGGGGCAGGTGGGCAGGCCAGCAGTATGGGGTGATGGGGCAGGTGGGCAGGTCAGCAGTATGGGGTGATGGGGCAGGTGGGCAGGCCAGCAGTATGTGGTGATGGGGCTGGTGGGCAGGTCAGCAGTATGGGGTGATGGGCAGGTGGGCAGGTCAGCAGTATGTGGTGATGGGGCAGGCCAGCAGTATGGTGTGATGGGGCAGGTGGGCAGGCCAGCAGTATGGGGTGATGGGGCAGGTGGGCAGGTCAGCAGTATGTGGTGATGGGGAAGGTGGGCAGGTCAGCAGTATGGGGTGATGGGGCAGGTGGGCAGGCCAGCAGTATGTGGTGATGGGGCAGGTGGGCAGGCCAGCAGTATGGGGTGATGGGGCAGGTGGGCAGGCCAGCAGTATGGTGTGATGGGGCAGGTCAGCTGTATGGGGAGATGCTGCAGGTGGGCAGGTCAGCAGTATGTGGTGATGGGGCAGGTGGGCAGGTCAGCAGTATGTGGTGATGGGGCAGGTGGGCAGGTCAGCAGTATGGGGTGATGGGGCAGGTGGGCAGGCCAGCAGTATGGGGTGATGGGGCAGGTGGGCAGGCCAGCAGTATGGGCTGATGCGGCAGGTGGGCAGGTCAGCAGTATGGTGTGATGGGGCAGGAGGGCAGGCCAGCAGTATGGGGTGATGGGGCAGGTGGGCAGGCCAGCAGTATGGGGTGATGGGGCAGGTGGGCAGGCCAGCAGTATGGGGTGATGAGGCAGGTGGGCAGGCCAGCAGTATGGGGTGATGGGGCAGGTGGGCAGGCCAGCAGTATGTGGTGATGGGGCAGGTGGGCAGGATAGCAGTATGGGGTGATGGGGCAGGTGGGCAGGCCAGCAGTATGTGATGATGGGGCAGGTGGGCAGGCCAGCAGTATGGGGTGATGGGGCAGGTGGGCAGGCCAGCAGTATGTGGTGATGGGGCAGGTGGGCAGGTCAGCAGTATGGGGTGATGGGGCAGGTGGGCAGGCCAGCAGTATGGGGTGATGGGGCAGGTGGGCAGGCCAGCAGTATGGGTGATGGGGCAGGTGGGGAGGCCAGCAGTATGGTGTGATGGGCAGGTGGGCAGGTCAGCAGTATGGGGTGATGGGGCAGGTGGGCAGGCCAGCAGTATGGGGTGATGGGGCAGGTGGGCAGGCCAGCAGTATGGGGTGATGGGGCAGGTGGGCAGGCCAGCAGTATGGGGTGATGGGGCAGGTGGGCAGGTCAGCAGTATGGGGTGATGGGGCAGGTGGGCAGGCCAGCAGTATGGGGTGATGGGGCAGGTGGGCAGGTCAGCAGTATGTGGTGATGGGGCAGGTGGGCAGGTCAGCAGTATGGGGTGATTGGGCAGGTGGGCAGAGCAGCAGTATGGTGTGATGGGGCAGGTGGGCAGGTCAGCAGTATGTGGTGATGGGGCAGGTGGGCAGGTCAGCATATGTGTTGATGGGGCAGGTGAGCAGGTCAGCAGTATGGGGTGATGGGGCAGGTGGGCAGGTCAGGAGTATGGTGTGATGGGACAGGTGGGCAGGCCAGCAGTATGGGGTGATGGGGCAGGTGGGCAGGTCAGCAGTATGGTGTGATGGGACAGGTGGGCAGGCCAGCAGTATGGGGTGATGGGGCAGGTGGGCAGGTCAGCAGTATGGTGTGATGGGACAGGTGGGCAGGCCAGCAGTATGGGGTGATGGGCAGGTGGGCAGGCCAGCAGTATGGTGTGATGGGACAGGTGGGCAGGCCAGCAGTATGGTGTGATGGGACAGGTGGGCAGGCCAGCAGTATGGTGTGATGGGACAGGAGGGCAGGCCAGCAGTATGGGGTGATGGGGCAGGTGGGCAGGTCAGCTGTATGGTGTGATGGGACAGGTGGGCAGGCCAGCAGTATGGGGTGATGGGGCAGGTGGGCAGGTCAGCAGTATGGTGTGATGGGACAGGTGGGCAGGCCAGCAGTATGGGGTGATGGGGCAGGTGGGCAGGTCAGCAGTATGGTGTGATGGGACAGGTGGGCAGGCCAGCAGTATGGGGTGATGGGGCAGGTGGGCAGGTCAGCAGTATGGTGTGATGGGACAGGTGGGCAGGCCAGCAGTATGGGGTGATGGGGCAGGTGGGCAGGCCAGCAGTATGGTGTGATGGGACAGGTGGGCAGGTCAGCAGTATGGTGTGATGGGACAGGTGGGCAGGCCAGCAGTATGGGGTGATGGGACAGGTGGGCAGGTCAGCAGTATGGTGTGATGGGACAGGTGGGCAGGTCAGCAGTATGGTGTGATGGGACAGGTGGGCAGGCCAGCAGTATGGGGTGATGGGACAGGTGGGCAGGCCAGCAGTATGGTGTGATGGGACAGGTGGGCAGGCCAGCAGTATGGGGTGATGGGACAGGTGGGCAGGCCAGCAGTATGGGGTAGGATATCACCGGCTGTGAGATAACACCTCAGTGATAGGGGCAAGGATTACGTGTAAGAGTCACTGTATCTTGACAGTGTAAGAGTCACTGTATTATGACAGTGTAAGAGTCACTGTATTATGACAGTGTAAGAGTCACTGTATTATGACAGTGTAAGAGTCACTGTATTATGACAGTGTAAGAGTCACTGTATCATGACAGTGTAAGAGTCACTGTATTATGACAGTGTAAGAGTCGCTGTATCATGACAGTGTAAGAGTCATTGTATCATGACAGTGTAAGAGTCGCTGTATCATGACAGTGTAAGAGTGGCTGTATCATGACAGTGTAAGAGTCACTGTATCATGACTGTGTAAGAGTCACTGTATCATGACAGTGTAAGAGTCACTGTATCATGACAGTGTAAGAGTCACTGTATCATGACAGTGTAAGAGTCACTGTATCATGACAGTGTAAGAGTCGCTTTATCATGACAGTGTAAGAGTCGCTTTATCATGACAGTGTAAGAGTGGCTGTATCATGACAGTGTAAGAGTCGCTTTATCATGACAGTGTAAGAGTGGCTGTATCATGACAGCGTAAGAGTCACTGTATCATGACAGTGTAAGAGTCACTGTATCAAGACAATGTAACACATATCAGTCCAATATAGCTATGTTGCACCGGTCATGGCAAGGGGTGTAGGCGGGTGCCACTCAGCAATACGAACAAAGCTTCAAGCTGGACGTATCTCAGGCACCATTTTACAGGTGCTGGAGTCTATGAGTGAGCCTTCATGGGGCCGGGTGTGAGCGGCACTCAACACCTGCTGAGCCATTATGGGGCCGGGTGTGAGCGGCACTCAACACCTGCTGAGCCATTATGTGGCCGAGTGTGAGCGGCACTCAACACCTGCTGAGCCATTATGTGGCCGAGTGTGAGCGGCACTCAACACCTGCTGAGCCATTATGTGGCCGGGTGTGAGCGGCACTCAACACCTGCTGAGCCATTATGTGGCCGGGTGTGAGCGGCACTCAACACCTGCTGAGTCATTATGTGGCCGGGTGTGAGCGGCACTCAACACCTGCTGAGCCATTATGTGGCCGAGTGTGAGCGGCACTCAACACCTGCTGAGCCATTATGTGGTCGAGTGTGAGCGGCACTCAACACCTGCTGAGCCATTATGTGGCCGAGTGTGAGCGGCACTCAACACCTGCTGAGCCATTATGTGGCCGGGTGTGAGCGGCACTCAACACCTGCTGAGCCATTATGTGGCCGAGTGTGAGCGGCACTCAACACCTGCTGAGCCATTATGTGGCCGAGTGTGAGCGGCACTCAACACCTGCTGAGCCATTATGTGGCCGAGTGTGAGCGGCACTCAACACCTGCTGAGCCATTATGTGGCCGGGTGTGAGCGGCACTCAACACCTGCTGAGCCATTATGTGGCCGGGTGTGAGCGGCACTCAACACCTGCTGAGCCATTATGTGGCCGAGTGTGAGCGGCACTCAACACCTGCTGAGCCATTATGGGGCCGGGTGTGAGCGGCACTCAACACCTGCTGAGCCATTATGTGGCCGGGTGTGAGCGGCACTCAACACCTGCTGAGCCATTATGTGGCCGGGTGTGAGCGGCACTCAACACCTGCTGAGCCATTATGGGGCCGGGTGTGAGCGGCACTCAACACCTGCTGAGCCATTATGTGGCCGGGTGTGAGCGGCACTCAACACCTGCTGAGCCATTATGTGGCCGGGTGTGAGCGGCACTCAACACCTGCTGAGCCATTATGGGGCCGGGTGTGAGCGGCACTCAACACCTGCTGGAGAGGTGTACCTGGCCCTGTGTTGTGCCCTGCACAGTGTCCTCCTACACCCTGGTCCTCAGGCTCAGGGCTGACACTCACCACCTGTGGTCAAGACTGTATGCTGACCTTTACATATGGGGCAAGACGTCATGCAGCTGCTACAAGGGGGTCATTCATCACCATGTGTCAACAATGTCTTCCTGTGAAGGCGTTGGAAGGTCATTTTTGCTGCAGAGAAAACTGGAGCAAGGGGTGATGGGGCAGGCAGGTGATAACAAGACCGCGTCATGTTGTAAATCGCTCTGGCAAAAAATTGAGTTGCAAAAACCTTGAGGTTAGTGTTGAAGTCAATACTGGGAATGATGTTTCACTCTTCATTGACCATAAATGTGAAAGTTTATGGTCAATGAAGATCTAGCATCTAGGAAGCTTGACCTAGCAAGCCAGGCAGCCGGGACACTTATAGTCCACTACGGCATCTCAAACCTTCTTGAGAGCAGAGGTTGTGGAAGCCAGATGTGAAAGTGCTGTAGTACAAGACCCGCGTGTAGTGTGCACCCTCTCTGGTGCACTGCTCTCAACACCTCAGCCCTCATCTCCACCGAC